GCTTTCTGTACTAACATGAATTTTAAATTTATTATAAATATAGCGATAGCTTTGATTTTTTTTTTAAAAAAATAAACACGTGATAAAATTTTTACTGTCGATTCGCAAGGGATATTTATCCCTCCCCTCGCAAAAGTCCTTTCTTCCAATCTTTTTATTTTTAACGCTAAATCTTTTGCTTTTCCTTTTAATTCTTCACGATGTTTATATTATAATGAAAGAATTTCTCTTAAATAATTTAAACGAATAATCGGCGTGAAATAAAAAAAATTTTATCATGATTTCCATCCAGTTTGAAAAAAAGACAGCATCGGCACCAATATGAACAATATCATATCAACATTCTGAGACTTTTCGATTATCTATGGATAATCTTTATCCACAATTTTTTTTAATTAGATTGTTTTTATTTTTTTTTTCAAAGTTTTTTTTTAAATTTTTTTGGTTCTTTTTTTTTGATAACTAAAAAAAAAGAGTTGTATAAATCAAAACCGCATTTATAAATCAATTGTATATAATATTATACAAATAAAGTTATTACTTATCTGGGTGGAGCTACGGTAAAAGTTTTCGACGGTAAGAAAGGTATGTATCGTATGAATTTTTTTTTCTTTTGAATATTAAATGATAAAACTAATCAAAATCATAAATGTAGATATATCGAAAGGATCGTATTATACAATAAAAAAATCAATAATCAGTAAAAAAAATCTACTTACCTTATGGATGATTATTTCAACGTTCAGGAAGAATTCAACCAGGAAGACCCTGATCATGAACATCTTAACAATTTTAACGATGATGAGTGGGAGGATATGAACCCTAATGATGATAATTCTGCGCCTGTTGGTTCTAGTTCAGTATGGAAATATATTAGTAAAAATCCAGATAGCTCAGGATTTAATGTTTGTAAAAAGTGTCATAAAAAGTTCCAATTGAGTACAGGTGTTTCTTCTTTAAGAAAACATCTTGCAAAACATCAGCTAAAAGTTCCTGCAAAACAAGGAATTCTAATGATAAAAAAAACAGGTCCTCTTAACGAAAAAGAGCAAAAAGAACATAGTGATTATCTTGTACAATGGATAATTTGTGACCTTCAACCTTTCACAGTTGTTGATGATCCATATTTTCGGGCAATGATCAAATTTTTTTGTCCGCGATATTCCATTCCTGAAAGACATCAAGTAAAAGACTTAATGATTGAGGCTTTTACTTTCAGACGAGTCAAAATTATTAATAGTCTTTATCAAATTCCAGGACAATGCTCATTAACTGCTGATATGTGGACTTCAATGAATCAAGAGACTTTTTTAGGACTTACGATTCATTACATAGATTCCGATTGGCATCTTTGCAACTTTCTCCTTGATATTATTCCCTTTTCTATAAGTCACTCTGGAATTAATATT